TTTTATTTTATTTTATTTTATTTTATTTTATTTTATTTTATTTTATTTTATTTTATTTTATTTTATTTTATTTTATTTATTTTATTATTTTATTTTATTTTTGGTTAAGGCACCAGGCTACAAGCTACGAGACTATGAGTTCTAGTCCCACCTTGGCCATGAAAGCCAGTTGGGTGAATTTGGGTCAGTTACTCTCTCTCAGCCCAACCCACTTCACCGCATTGTTGTTGTGAGGAGAATATGAGGAAGAAGGCACATTTGCTGCCTTAAGTTACTTGTAAAAATAATAAAGGCAGGATAAAAATATATGAATAAATCTGTTTGAACACAGTATGATAGATAGGAGTTGCTGAGGCTTAACGAAGGACTTCATTAATCTGCTCTACTATTTGTGCCAGTAAGATGTGTATCTCTATACATGATTTTCATTGTGGTTTGTTCTGTTTGTAGTTCAGAGATGCAGGACAAGGAGGCCTTTGCAACCAAGCAATCATGCTGCTCACTGATGGAGCTATGGAAGATTATGAATACGTCTTTGAAAAATTCAACTGGCCTGATCGTAAGGTTAGCTTCCAAAGTGAAAAACAGAGAAGAGCATAGAAAATCAACTGGTCTGGTATGAATCATGAGCAGGGAACAAAACAATGAGTAGCATGGAGACGCTTAGGGTCCTAGCTAAAATTTTGCTTCAGATAATTTTGGACGGATCTTCCTAATTAATGAGATTGGTCTAGATTTAGTGATAGGTCACAATATTGATTTTTTATGTAGCAGAAGAACAAAAAAATAAATATTTAAATGAGTTTTAGACAAGTGCAATGGGAATGAAAGGTTCACAAGCTATTTTAAGAAACTGGTTAATGGTTTCTTGAATCAACAGTTGGTTGAGTTCACACATATGCTAAGTCAAAACTCATAAAAAATCACAGTAACTATCTCTGTAAAATAATGACAGCTGTTAGTTTGAAATTACATTTTAAAAAGGTTATGACAAATTGCATTTGACTCCTTCCTTTGGTTCACCTCTATTATTTTCCACAAACTCATAAAAGTAAAGACCTCTTCAAGTTGAGCTACATTCGTAGTAACTCCAGGGGTTTTTTTTTTCATGGAAGTCCTGTATCATTGTTTCTTTTCAGGATTTTTTAAAAAAATCCATTTAGCCCATCGCCCTGAGATTTCCTGCACCCTTCCCATCTAAGTACTAGCTAGATCTGACTTAGGTATTCCATGAATTCAAACTAAATTATTGCCACATACTCTTATTCCTATATTTACATAAGGACTGTCTTTTGGGGGGGGGGGTCTTTAGCTCTGAGATACAATGTGGCGGGACCTGAGAATTGCAGATGGGAGCCAGAATAAGATAAATAATGATCTTGTCTAGGGTTTTCTAAAATGAAAGATTAATAATGTAGAGTGCTGGTTGTTTTTAATATTACATTGTAATGTTTGCAATCTCATTTGACAGGTCCGTGTTTTTACATACCTTATTGGGAGGGAAGTCAGTTTCGCACAGAATGTGAAATGGATAGCTTGTAACAACAAAGGTAAATATATATATATTAAAGTTCATTTTAATCATCCTTTCTGCAAGACAGAAGCACTTGCCAATCATATATTTTTATATTATAGCAACTGTGATATGCAAATCTAATTTGAATTGCTAAAGTTCGTCTTTGTTCATCGTCTTATATCATTACGGATGAGGACACGCTTGGTAAACGGTGTCTAAAACTTCTTATACGTTAATCCTTTGCCTTAGTCCTCGTAAAACACCAACTTTCTTTTATATTTTCTTCGTTTTTTAATTGTCATTGGTAAAGTTAACCCGGAAAGGATTTAAAGGTTTATCACACGAACACATATTATACGGATAAATTACAAAGATGGTACAGGTAGTCCTTGACTTATAATCATTCATTTAGTGACTGTTCGAAGTTACAACAGTGCTGAAAAAAGTGACTTACAATCAGTCTTTGCACTTACAACCGTTGCAGTGTCCCGGCGGTCAGATAGTGAAAATTCATGGATTTATGTTGGTTGCAACATTTTAGGCTCATGTGTTCACCATTTGTAACCTTCCCAGCTGGCTTCTGACAAGCAAAGTTGATGGGAGAAGCTGGATTCTCTTAATGACCATCTGCTTCACCTAACAACCACCCTGATTCACTTAATAACCATGGCAAAAAGGTCATAAAATCAAGCACAACTCATTTAACAGCCTTCTATTCACTTGGCAATGGAGGTTCCAGTCCCAACTGTGGTCATAAATTGAGGACTACCTGCAAATAGAAACATGTAAAGTATGTTTAGAAAAGTTTCAGAAGGTTTGACGGTAGTGGTGATTTTGGTATAGTCGGTTGGTTTTTGTAAATGAAGGGTAAAACTTTATTTTTCCCCTAAAAATCAGTCAATGGCCAAAGGGCAGTTTCAAGGTGATTGAGATGATTTGATACTGCAAAAGAAATGATGTAGCTTTTGTAATATTATTGCAAAATACCTGTCTGTAGGGTCCCATGAATACTATACTTTTCTATCTGAGAGACAAAGACCTTGATTTCTCTAGATCTTTTTTGAGTATAAACTAATAAAAAATAATTGTCCTTTAATCCATTGCAAGCAATCATTCAAAATGTTAATTCCAGTGACTTCAGTTAGGTATTTATAACTTTGTTCACTTTTAAATGTAGCATTGCTTTTATTTTTTACATCAATTTCATATAGAAAACAGCCTTTTTTTAGTATGTCCAAGTCTAAGAACCTTTGAATGTTCTCTTCCTGGTTGAAGCCCTCATATGTTAGGCAAGTTTATGATGAAAATTGAATAGCATCAAAATCTGGTGAATACTTGAAGGTTCATCCTAATGGATTTTTCTAAGTGAACAGAAATTTTGGCCTTTTAGAACCTATTGGAAAATCTAGAACATTTAAGAAATGTCCCAAAACTAGATTTCAGTAGATACATATACAACCTAGGACAAATGGTCAGGATTCAATAAACTTTGGAACAAATGAGATGCAAACCTCAACTTAAACAAAATTAACTCTGTTGATGGTGATTTTTTTTCCATGTCAGGCTACTACACACAAATATCTACTTTGGCTGATGTGCAAGAGAATGTCATGGAATATTTGCATGTACTTAGTCGGCCAATGGTTATCAACCATGATCATGACATCATATGGACTGAGGCCTATATGGATAGTGCTGTAAGTATTTCATGAAAAGTTTCTAGTTGTCCAACTCTGAAGGTGTTAAGAGATAAGGGTCTTTTCAAATACTTGTTGCAATATGTATATCATTCAGAAGTGGATCACAGCAGCTGGATAGTGTTAAAATGTGCCTTCTAAAAGAGTTATCGTTTATCACACTTTCCACATGTTCCACCATAGTCCAGGAACTCAAAAGAAATCACAAGAGGCATAGCATGACTTAGTTAAAATCTCTGTCTCTGTAAACTCTGCAGAAGCACTTTATTAAAGGATTAGTCACCAGAAAAAAAAATTGTTTGAGCTCAAGAAATGGGTCACTGAGCCTGCAGCAGCAGCATACTGTAGCTTGTTTCCTATTTCACAGAAAGAATTAACTTACATTATGGGATCCCATATGTCTTAAATGACTAAGGCTAAAATCCAGAGGAAGAATTTGTTTGAGGAGGAAGACTGCTTCTCATAATGAGCAAGATTTTCTCTCTTTAGCAGTGAGACTGTTGAGAAAAATGAAGACTTTCCATTATATTTTTTTCAAGTTGAAATTCAGTACAATTTTACAGGTTTCTCATAGGAATGTCTATCATTTTGTATAAGGCTAAAGTTTCTCAAGTGCATTTATCCACTCCTAGCAATAAAGCCTGACCATCTAAGTGGCTACACCTACAGCCGTGTCTTAGGAAGTTAAACAAGTTGGCCCTTCTTAGGATTTCAATGGGAGACCACTGAGAAGCACCAGAACTATAGGTTAAACTGGGAAATTAAAAATAAATCCAGGAAGAGAGCAACAGTGAACCACTTTGTACTGTTCCCCAAGAAACTATAAAAATGGGCCCATTAAATAATAAGGAACCAAGTTCATCTCAAAGAAAAATTCTTGCCTGGTGGTTGCTACATATACATGGGTCTCTGTTGTACATTCAATGGTAAGGCAGAGCATCAACAATCTTGATACTGTTGTTAAAATCTCTGATTCTGGATGGAATATGGCTTTATGTGTTCCCAGTTACTTGCTGCTACTGTCCACAACCAGCTGAAGGGCTTACAAGAGCCAACAGTTAAAAAAGTTGGTCCCACCATACCATACCATGCCTTGGCCATCTCAGACATGAAGCTATTCTAAATTGATGAGAAGATATTTCTGAATTCAGAGATTAAAGCTGAACATTTCTTGGAACTAAGTTATAAAAGAAATCTCTTTTCCAATTTAGTTAAGATTATCAGCAGAATGACCTTATATTTATTTTATTGAGTGTTGATTCTTGACTGTTGCTACCTAAAAACTACTATTATATGTGATGCTTTTGCTTGTTCTTATGTTTTTCTCACTTGCATTGTTTGTGTTAGTTGTTGCATGTTTGTTTGGCTTATTCATCTATTCTGTCCTGTCCATTCATTATTGCCATCCACATTTCTCACTAGCTGCCACAATTCGAGGAGGTAACAACCTAGCTGTATTTTGTGAACATTAACAGTTTTTATGTGGATTGCCGTGTTGTATATTAGATTACTTTGTAGCTTAATTATACATCCAGATGATAATACAGTGGTGACTGAGCAATGCAGCATGGGAAAGACAGATAGCATAATTCTGGATGTATTTGAGTTGTGTTGTGTTGTGTCATGGAATAGTATTTCAGAGCATGGCTCATGGGCTGAAGGTGCCCTGTTTGAACTGTGGCTTAATCCTAGATTTATTTAATGGATTTGACTGCAACTTGGTGCTCACTTAAACTGAATTTTATGATACTTATTTCTTTCTAGACATGTGGATAATTATGCAGCTATAGTGCTACACCTTGAAGTAATTGTTAAGATTATACAATGTCCATAATGGGATTTTAACATTAGTAGAGATTCCCTCTGAATACTGAAATAGCAGTAACATAATTTGTTTGAGAGAATACAGAGGAAGTGTTTTCACAATTATACAGTAAATATTTAGTACCGCAACAGGATGGTCATCTACATTTTAGTTATTAAATATCCATACTCAACCTGTTAATAATGCCCACTGAGCTAATATTTAGAATGGCTAGCAGAAGATTAATTTGTGGAATTGAATATTATAAAATGTTGTGATAGATGATGCAACGGTGAAATTTAACATTCATGGAAGATAGTGCTATGTACAGCTATTAAGAATAATAGCAATATATTATTCCCAACAGAGGAAGGATTCCTCTCAATACTGGTTGCTTTCATGTGTAACTGGAATGATGCAGCTGCCTTCATGCCACTCAGGACTTTCCATAGGTATCTAGTTGGCTTTTATGCTGGATCTTTGGATTCATCTAATGAGACTTTGAAGCCCTCTATAGTGAAATGGGTGAAACTTTTATTGAGTTGACTAGAAGCCCTAGATAAATGGTTTTTTTCCTCTTCTGAAGCTGCAAAGCTGTCTCTCCCTCCCATCTCTCCATCTCTAGCTTGTGATGCCTTTGTTCATTTCACACAATTCACCTTTATTTCTTCCAACTTGTTGATGAACCATCTTCCATGTAAGCCCATGTCTCTTCTGGAATATATCCCTTATTTTCAACTTCAACCACAGCCCATTTGCATTTGATCCCTGAATATGAGTTTGAATGTTTATGTATGTAAGCACATTTACAATTTGTTATGTCTGGGTAAGTGAGTCACATGCTTAATTATATCTCTAACTATGCCATGTTAACCTGGATATGAAGAAGTGCAGTCACATGTTAAACTTTCTTTATGATCTTATCTACCTTGACTATGTGAAAGCATTGTCAAAGCATGTCTCAGCTTCATCTCTTACTCCTACATATCATATTCTTCTTGTCCTCTTGTATAGTTAGTATTTTTTAGTGCACACTTTTCATTGTGCTTTCCTACTATTTAATTCAAAGGATTTGTGCTTTTCCTGCCAATTACTCTTCCACCAACTAATCTGTTGCTCTTTTTCTATCTGGTAGCTTTTTGCCTCTCAAGCTCAAAGTCTTTTGCTTATGACAACAGTGGCTATGCCTGTCTTCAGCAAAAAAAATGAAACGGTAAGCATCATTTTCTAGGCAACCTCCACCTGGAGCAAGATAAGAGGATAGCTTGCAAAATTTCAACTTTGTTTGTTGGAGCTTGTAGAGAGTAAGGAACATGAGTAAGGAACATGAACTCCAAGGGTGGTGAGAAATAAAACATGTCTTAAGACCAGAACAGTTAGATAATTTTCAGATGTTTTAGTTTTCCTCTAGAGTTGATTTCTTGGTCTGGTCTACCTAGTGAGGTAAGTAGACCAGACTGACAGAGCTTTAGCAGATCTCCAGATGTTATTGTATTTCTTAAATGGAGTGTGTGTTACTACTTCTTAAAATCCTATAACCAGAGTATGCTAAATAAATAAAAACATGTTAAAGAGTATATTTATAAATAAGTCAAGTGGACAAACTATAGCCTGCATTCCCTGTATGGCCCTAACTGCCTTTTAGGGGCTCTCTAGGTGTCAAACTCAATTTCATTGAGGGCCGCATCAGCATTGCGGTTGCCCTTGGGGGGCCAGGTGGGTGTGGCCAGGGTGGGTGCGACCTACTGGGTGGGCATGGATGGAGTGGGTGTGGTCTACTGGGTGGGCATGGCCAGCTCTACATTGTTCACGTCAAGGGTGCCTATGGGGGCCTGGGCAGGAGTGGGACAGATCTGAGGGTCTCTGGCAGAAGGGGGTGGGACCGGGGCAAGCGCCAAGGCATGGTCCATTTCTTCATTCCTCACAAAGGGTGACACCTCCCCAGCATGCACCCAGGGGGCGGGGACGACACAGCAGGGGCTGGTTCCTCACTGTTTCCAGACGGCCTTGTGGAGCTAAGACTGAATGCGTTTCAGCATAGATGGCCACCACAAAACTGTACATTGGCTCCCGGCCAGCCTGGGCCAGGGCCAAGACAGCGGGGGCCATTCCCTCACTGTTTCCAGAATGGCTTCGCGGGCCACATGAAAGGACTTCGCGGGCCGCATCCGGCCCCCGGGCCTTGTATTTGACATGTCTGCTCTAGAGCTTCTAAAATCTTGCAAACAAAATTTGATAACAAAAGTTATGAAGAATGGTATGCAGTTATCCACCAATGTATATGTGAGATACAGTAACTTTTTTGTTGTTAAAAATATAATTTTAAAAAATAAAGAAACTAACATATCAAAACTAATGAAAGAACTATTTTCTTCGTTGGACAAATTAAGAAAAGGAATGTAATCTCCTTCTCTGTCTTCTTTTGAAATGATTAGTCTTATAGAATTTGTTATCTCTTTTTATTAGCATCTACACTACAGCTTAGAGAATGGAATATTTAACCAATTTCTGTTCCTTTTTTATCCTCCCATCCAAAATATTTTGTCCAATACAAATGATGAAAGTCAACATAGTGACAAAATGATGATATTGATTTTGGTACAAGGAGAAAGAGACAATACATTCCCACTTTTCATTTTCTATTTTTCAGAGATCCCATGGAATCCTTCTGGGTGTGGTAGGGTCTGATGTTCCACTGAGAGAGCTCCTAAAGTTAGCTCCACGATACAAAGTAAGAACTGAAATAATGAGAATTGTCTGATCTTTAAAAGTGCAACAGTCCCAAAGGAAATCTTCATTCTGGCATAATGGCAGAGAACTCCTTTGATCACTGTATGCTGCAAGAAGTAGAGATTCCCACTAGTTCAGAAAGATTAAGTTCACATTCCCAGATGTCTGCAGAGTACTGTACATGTATGCCTTTGAAACTCTCTGTTAATACTACTCCCTTTCAAAGGAAAGTCCCACCATCATATGAGCACAACTAAGAAAACATGTTCCTCGCAGCTTGTTATAAAGATTTGGTGCTCCTCTGAGAATCTTAAAAACATGGTATTGGGGGCCATCAATGTGTTCAGACTGATTTCACATTCTTATTTCTTGATCTGAGGAATCCTCAGAGCAAGGCATTGTGGAGGAGAGAAGCGATATTAGGATGGTAGTAGCTAGGGTCTGAACTGAAAAATGAATCTTTCTGAATACGTTGCTTGAGGTTCATGAATGAGCTGGCTCTGTTCAGTTCAAGGGGAAAAATATTCAGTAAGCAAATTTGGAAGAAATCCTTGCAGGGACTCACTGCCAATTAGACACAAGGATTTTGGCTTGATTAACAAATATTCTGATATATTGGTAGCTTCTTACGTTCCTTAACTCTCTTGATTCAGATTTTAACCTATGTTAAGACAGAAGAGCATCTGAGAACCCCATACACACTGTTGTGTATTTCTTAAAGGAGGAGCAATATAATTTGAGGGAGATGGGCGGTTTAGAAATATGAAATATAAAAAATAAATAAAATAAAAATTGAAGAGATATCTTGAAGGGTTAAGATTTTATACAAAATGTTCAAACTAAGAAATGATAGTGTGCATACTAGTCAATCAATGCACAGTTTTGTGGGACGGGTTCTGTAACTTTCCCTCTTGCAAAAAATATATATGAAATAAATACATCTAATTGTTTTAATGCATTTATTTCAAGCTGGGTATCCACGGATATGCCTTTCTAATTACTAACAATGGCTACATTCTGTCTCATCCCGACCTCCGGCCACTGGTAAGTACCTAAACAAGCCCTAGATTTTCTGGGATCTCTGTTTGGTTTGTGTCATTTTAGAACCTCCAGTTCATTGATGCACAGGGTCATCAGCTATCTAGATTTGTGCTATCCCACAATGACAGTAAGTGGCTGCTGTTGGATGGTTGTCTTTTTCTAATGGCAATTTTTGATTGTTAGTTTTCTTTTCCAATGAACCCAATATCTATTCAATATCTATTCAAACTCCTAAATGGCACCATTGAAGTATCAAATCAAAGGCCTACTGGGAACCTTTACATGCAGTGGATCCAATCGCATCAGCAAAAACATCACTGGTAACTCTGTGCCAATAGAATTGTCCTGGTGTCTAGGGAATTTGGACCTCAGGTAACTTTTGTAGGTAGGTAACGTTCCTCACCTACATGATTAAATTTTAATTTTATGTCACTTTGACTTAAATGTCAAGGCTCCCAATGCAGCTATCTAATTATGTTGGCTGGTTGAATACTTCATTTTCTCCGAGGTACCTTTTAATTGCATACTTATTCTGCCCAAAATGTGAGATTTAAAGATCTCCTCCAGAACTTTCTTCACTTTTTATATTTTCTCTTGATTTATATTTTCTTTGCTTTCATTACAAGCATAGAATAAATATCCCCTTTAGAAAAAGAACACAAATTATACAATAAATGCCAAGCTGGTTAGATTAATTATATGCTTACAGTGTTGAAATTTATATCTGATTTAAAACAGGAAAGTATATATCATTCCTGTATTATTGCTCTGCTTCTTGCCGCTGCTATTGTTTTTGATTTGGGCTATTGGAAACATAATTTGTACAAATAAAATTTGCTAGGCCTGTACAGGTAGTCTTCAATTTACAACCACAATTAAGACTGGAATTTTGGTTGTTAAGCGATTTGGTTGTTAAAAAAGTCATTAAATGACCAGGTCTGATTTTATGATGATTTTTGTTGGATTATTAAGTGAATCACATGGCTGTTAAGCAAATCCAGCTTCCCCAATTGATTTTGTTTGGAAGATTACTATTGTGATCATGTGATTCAGGCCAAGCACCTGAATTAATAATAATAATAATAATGATAAAGTTGGAAGGGACCTTGGAGGTCATCTAGTCCAACCCCCTGTTCAGGCAGGAAACCCTATACCATTTTGGACAAATGGCTGTCCAGTTTCTTCTTTAAAACTTCCAGTGTTGGCGCATTCACTGCTTCTTAGAATCAGTTGACCAGTGGGATGGTGCAATAATTGTAATTTCAAGAACAGGTCATAAGTCACTTTTTCCTAGACTGTTGTAACTTTGAATCATGAGTAAATGAATGGTCATAAGTAGAGGACTACCTGTGTCAGAAAAAGTCTTATCTTCCATTCCTAATGATGCCATGAGGACTAGAGTTATTTTGCTTTCTGTAATAGCAAAACTCTGGAAGATGTTGAAGACAACTTCATTTTTGCCCAGGGGGCAAAATGAATGGAAGAGCACAACAACTGCACTTCCCTTGCTCAACAATAATAATACCTAGAACTTCGTTCAACAATAGATACTAACATTGTATAATCAGCTGGGAGGGGGGAGTCTTTCCTTGAGAAAAAAAGTATATCTTCCTAACTTGTCTGTCCTTTTTTTACTATTCCAGTACAAAGAAGGGAAAAAACTGAAGCCCAAACCTAATTACAACAGTGTTGATCTTTCTGAAGTAGAATGGGAAGATGTCAATGAAACTGTAAGTGCCTAATTGGGGGGGGGGGGGTTGTGCTCATTACCATGGCCAATTTATTCATAAAGTTCCTAGCAAATCACAGGAATATTGACAAATTGTCTATTGACAATGGGCAATATGCAACAAAATAAGTACAAGCTGAAGATGATGCAAGTAATCTATGAAAGGTAGAGCAAAAATATACACATATAGAAGAGCATCCTTGTATCAATCTGTTGTAGCCAATTGTTCATACTTCTCAGTATGAACAAATCTCCCAGTTCTAATCCAACACATTAGTCTTGGCAGTTGCTTCCCTGAATCAGTACAGTCAATTACAGGCTTACAGCCCAACCTGTATATTATTTAGCTATACATAAAGGGGTGAAATATCTATACTTAAATTGTCACTGCATGCCAGCGGTCCTGAGCCAGCTAAAAATTCTAATGAAATCTGGTTCTTTTCTGCAGTTACGAACAGCAATGATCAATGGAGAAACTGGTTATTTGTCCATGGATGTGAAAGTGCCCATGGATAAAGGAGTGAGTATTTATAAGTTTGTGTTTAAAAATTGTAGATTAAAAACCATGCAATTTGGAAAAGTAAACATTTCAAAAGGTTAAATGTGTGAAACTATCCTAAAATCCCCAAAGCACATCAATATAATTAGATTAGCTTCATCGGATACATGACAATAGCAGGAGACTTAGAAGACTGAAATCATAAAGGCTGTTTCAGAAATATAAAGCTTAGCCATACCTTTATTCTCTCTTCATCTCTAACAAGAACACAGAGTTTCCCTAGGAGGCAGAGAAAATATGTAAACAAGAGAACAATATCCATTTTAGTCATAGCTGTCATCAACAGAGGCTTAAATTATCAGTAGCTGCTGCAGAAACATATGATGAATTAAAATCCAGTGGTATTTGAAGACTGTAGATTCAGGAATGGAAATGTTTCCTAAAATTCTGGAGACTTGTGTACTAATAAATCTTGTCCAGGTGTGCATATCAAGAGTTCAGGGCAGAGGTGTCCACAAAGGGTCAAACAAATCAATATAGGTGCTGCAATTGTACAATCAAAGCCCCACCCCCCTTTTAGTGTACATTAAAAGGAGAGGCTTCAATACCCCCCGTTCTGTTCTGTTCTGTACAAATTGAAATGTTTTATACCTTTCTATTAATGCATTTAGGCATCATGACATTTCCTAAATTAAATATGTCATTATTAAATGCCATATGACAGTGATGACAAACCTTTTAGAGACCGAGTGCCCAAACAGCAACCCAAAACCCACTTATTTATCACAAAGTGCCATCAGCATTGTGGTGCCCTCCAGGGGGGGCAGGGAGGCACCACTGAGTGCCGCCTCTGGCACACAAAAACCAGTGGCGCAAAAATGGAGCATTGTGCTGCAAGGCACAAAAATGGCCACCACCGTGCCGTGGGGTGCAGATACAAGGCACTGTACCACGCAAGAACGGGGCAGGGCTAGTGAGTATCACGCGGGCACTAGCTCTGCCCCATTTGCAGCGTGTGCGTGCTCGCAGCCCTGTGCACGCATGCATGCATGTAAAATGCTTCTCCCTCCCTTTTCTTCCAGTCCACCAATCGACAATGGTTGGTGACCTCTGCTCTACCACCTCTACTCAAACTTGCTAGTCAGCCACTTCGCCTCCTTTGTGCTGGGTGGGGCTCCTGTTCCGGGTGGCAGTGGCGGCCTGCTGCTGGCAGTGGTGGCGCTGAGGGCTCTGAGTGGCGCCTCTGGCACGCGTGCCATAGGTTCGCCACCACTGCCATATGACATTTATTGGCCCCTTATTAGCTCTCCCTTACCTACCTTCGGGTCTTTTACTCTTTTGTCATTATTGCTCCTTCATCTCATTATGACTTGAGTTTTCAATCATTGTTTTTTTCCCACCTGCATCTCTTAAACTGGAGGCACATATTTTTTCTTCTAGAGAGTTGGAAAGTTTTCCATGGAGTCTATAACATGCATGCACTGAGATGATTTGCTTGGCCAGCTGCCCCCTTAAGTTAAATAAATGCATAGAGGTTTTGAAAGGATAGAAAATCCTCCAAAGTCTGTGTAACTAGAAAAAAGAGTTGAAGAAATATATGTCAGTACTCTTAAAAAGTAGTATTAGTTTTTCTCTCTTGCCGCACTAACCTTTTTTAACTTCTTCATGCTCTGCTTTTTGATTCATCTAAATTTCACATCCTCCCTGGAATTGATTAGTTAAGTTTATATTCTTCCCCATTTCCAACTGTACTGAAAATTATTTTAAAGGTTAGCAAAGCAGGGTTCCGTGGAGACATTTTATTCACTCCTGTTAATATTACATCACCTCCTGCCCCCAAATACTTAAAACTATTTGACATTTCTCTAATCTTGTAAGTTTTCAGGCAATACAAAGTGCCTCCTTGACTGAATTAATTAACATTAAGACTGGGTTTTTTAAAAAATGGATCAGGTTTCAGCGTGAAGCTAAATGCATGACATAGTTCACCAATTCCCCTCAATATTCAGGCAAAAACTATACTGAAGGAGAAAAAGTACTATGAGGAAATTCTGCTCCATGAAGAATGCCTGTGTGTGTAAAATAGGCACCTTAGTACAGCCTAAAAATAAATGTAAATCTATTGTGATTTTCTTGGTGTTCTTTGAATCCAAAATGTTGACTCCATAGGTATGTTTGTGTAGTTTTCTTGGCAGCATTACCACTGCCTTGGAATTTTTTTTTCCATTTTCCCTTCAGTTTTCCACCCTATCCTAGAGACTCTTGATTTCTGAGTGGTCTCCAATCCATGTCCCAGCTGGACCTGGTCCTGGTTAGCTTTTTTCCAGATCAGCCAAATTGGTTAGATGTTGACACTTGCTGTGTGACCTTGTGGTACCTAAAAATCATAAAATCAAATGTTAACAGCAATAGAAAAGCAGGAGGGCTTGGGACCCCTGGAGGGAATATTATGGGGTTCATTTAAGCCAAGCTATTTCCTCTCCAGCAACACAGAAAATGGGGGAACCACTCAACATTATATGGCAACCCACACAGATTTCTTTCTTTCTTTCTTTCTTTTTTTGAGAGCGTCAGGCTGGCCATGCTTGGCTAATTAAATAAGCTAGCTGAGATATTTTTGAAATACTCAGCTGGCAGCCAGCTCACGTAACTGCCTGCAGGATCAATCTGCCTTTCCAAAGCATGAACAATTTAGCCTCAACTCCTTTGATGCCTGCTGTCATTGTACTAGATGGGGTTTCTGGGATGTTGAGGATTGGTGTTTAACCAGCAAAAGGGAAGGATGATATTTAGGTGAAGGAGGAAAAAAAAAGCAGCCCACGTGACTGCAGCCACAAGGACTGAGATGGTTATCCTATCCCTTGTCACCTTCTCTGTCACACTTCCATCTCAAGCCTATCTGTCATTTCACGTAGCCCAGCTGCAGAGCATTGATCTGTGTAACGTATTTCAAGGACACTAAAGCAGGGGTAGAACAGCCTTGAAGGCTGTGGCCAGTCTCTTTTTTTCCAATTCCATCTGATTCTCTGATAAGAAGTGCATTGCTCATCAAGTCATGTATCAAGGTATACAAAGAAACAGTGCTAAGACCGTATTATTTACCACAGCTCATCCTACTTAGCAAGATTTCTTTGGTATCGTGGGTGTGAATTCACAAAATGGCCAGTGTGCTGTGCAAAGATGTTAGAATGTTAGTTGATGCAAGCAAAATGGAGACCCCATCTCCCATTTTGTTGGCATCCTTCACACTCCCACCCACCACCCCAATTTAAAAAAAAACTCACCCTAGAGGAGGGGTGTCAAACTGCCAGCTCATAGCAGAGGGCAATGCCCTCATGACCTCTTATATTTTCTTACAAAAAAAGATTAATCTACCAGACCAACGTGCTGGTTTTATCCTTTAAAGCGCTTCATGGCATGGGACCAGGGTACAGATAGTCTTCAAGTTACGATCACAACTGAGCCCAAAATTGATGTTGCTAAGTGAAATATTTGTTAAACGAGTTTTGCCCCATTTTACGACATTTCTTGCCACAGTTGTTAAGTGAATCATTGCATTTGTTAAGTTAGTAACATGGTTGTTAAAGTGAATCTGGCTTCCCCGTTGACTTTGCTTGTCAGAAAGTCGCAAAAGCTGATCACATGACCTCAGGACATCGCAACCGTCATAAATATATGTACCAGTTGCCAAGCGTCCAAGTTTTGATCATGTGACCATGGGGATGCTGCAGCAGTCATAAGTGTGAAAGATGGTCTTAAGACACTTTTTCAAGTGTGTTGTAACTTTGAATGGTCACTAAATGAATTGTTGTAAGTCAAGGACGACCTGTATTTGAGGGACCATCTTTCATCAGCTTGCCCCATCAGGTTTTGCAAAGAAGGCATGGTCCAGATGCCATCAGCCAGGTATTTACATTTGCTAGTTCCCAGGCAACACGCTTACTCTGCTGTGGTATCCCCCTTATGGAACAGCCTTTCCCCCAAAAATTCTTCTTTCCTGCTTCCTTTTCTCCAAAGGAGAGGTTTGTCTTGTTGAAAGGAATGGTGAGTGTAGGTCATAATAGCTATAGAAGGCTTGGCACTGCCTCATTTCAGGATGAAAGTCAAATGATCCATGCTTCTATATCAGTGGTGGCGAACCTATGGCACGGGTGCCAGAGGCGGCACTCAGAGCCCTCTCTGTGGGCACGCACACCATCGTCCCAGTCCTAGGCCTTCAGCTGGGTTTTATAAAACCTTTTCGCTTTAGGCCTCCGCCGCCGTGTGCAAAAAAAAAGGTTCAATCAATCAGTCAATTTCAATTTCTCACGGGAAAAGAAAATCTTGCAAAGTTGAAATTGATTGATTGAACTTTTTAGTCCCACCCAGTCTGCCGTTACCACCGCAGCCACGCCCACCCAATGGGCTACACCCACCCGGCACCCGACGATGCATAAGTGGGTTTTGGGTTGCAGTTTGGGCACTCGGTCTCTAAAAGGTTCGCCATCACTGTTCTATATGATCTAATATCCCAAGTATTTCCAGTATTCCTCATCCTTCCCAACTATGAATATTTGTAGTCTATCTTTTCCTCTTCAGATTCTCATTCTCACAGGTTCTCATTCTGAACCTCTATAGCAGGAGTGTCAAACTGCCAGCCCATGGGCTGGATGCGTCATGCTGAAACCGCGCCCACCCCAGCATCGGCAATAGGGAAAAAGTCACGATACATCATGACACGTCACGTGACATGGCGAGTTTGACACCCCTACTCTATAGTGATTTTGTTGCCTTCCTGTCTTGATCCAATTTATCTGGGCCTGATGTCACAGAGATCTTGGACCAGCCTATCAACTTATTTCTACCAGTGGACTGTTTATAGGAACATTGGGAGAAATTGTCAGGTTCATTCATGTTTTGAGGCCCATAAACAATTTTATACCACATTAAGTTATTATTGTGGACTTTCAGACAATACCCTCCTAATGTAGATAATGAGCAATCTCTGCAGATGGTAGGCTGATAAAACGTACAGATTATTACACACTGATATATTATGAAAAGGTATGTACAGACAATTAAAGAGATGTTGTATTATTCATATTCACTATAAAAGACATGAATCTTAAGTAACAGTACAACATAAAGTCAATTTATTGTACAGCTTGTTTGTTGTACTCGTTGTACTACAAGACCTCATAAAAACAGAAGTAGAAACGTCTCCATTTTTTTTTTCCTCACCATCTCACACCAACAACAGAATTTTTTTTTTAAACATTACAGCCTCTTCTGGTAAGTTTATGCATCACTTAAAACCCAATTAACCATACTTTTTTCTTCTTCAGTCTACTCAGGTTTATATAATTAAAATCCATCCAATTAATTGATAAAGTCTGCAGTCCCCTGCACATTTACTTAGGACTGGATCTACCAAACTGAGTGTGTCTTAATTCCCAGTAGATAAAATGCTACAATGTAAGATTTATTTAATTGGGAGACTGCCCTAATCACGAGATTCTTAATATATGATGGCCTAGTTTCAGCACTCATTTGATGATGTACAACAAAATTAAGCCTTTCTTTTTACATGCCAACTTTGTAACAAGAAGGAGCAGGACTCTCTTTAAGCGAGTAAGCAGATGTGAAAGACAAACTACGTTTCTTCTCTAGTTGCATTATTCTCTCTCTGCATGTGTCTGTGTGTCTGTATGTGTAAGGTGTATGTTTTCTCTGCAGTTACAGTTTAGCATTCCTGATATTTTTTTCTTTTCTTTTTTCTCAGAAAAGGATTCTGTTCCTCACTAATGACTATTTCTTCACTCATATTAGCCGCACTCCATTTAGGTGAGTGAGCAGATTCTACAGAGGGAGATCAAATTAAATGTTTTGCATTACTATTCAGATGGCCTTAGGTAACAAAAAGATTATTCCACCCAGGATCCTACAGAGTCAATTCAATTCAGTTGGTCAACCTTCATCAACCTGATGCCATCAAAATAATTTGAGATTATAAGGTCCAAAATTCCCAACTGGCATGGCCAGCGATCCTGTTGGCTGGAAAACTTGGGAACTATAGTCCAGTTATACTTTTTATATTATTTTTGTAATCCAATTATCCAATTATACCTGGATGGTACCAGGATGTCAAAAGAAATAACATATGCATTAGGCTGGATACAGTTGGCTTTTTTAGAAAAATAGCAACACGTAAGAGAGAGAAAGGAAGAAAGAATGAGAATTTGACTTCTGGAGCCATAGGAATGGCTCTGACAAAGGAATAATCTACAAAGCTTTTGGAGGCCCTGTTTCTTTATGGAAGTCCTGTAGAGAAAAAGATGGATTAACTCCCCCAGATTAAGTCCCCCACTTCACTCACTTAGTGAATCCATTTTTCATACCTGTAGAAATAGAACCAAATTCATCAAGAGAATTTCAAGATGCTGTAGATGTTGAAGATCCAAAAAAACCTCAGTTGTTATACCTGTCAATTAAAAGTCTGAGTTTTCAGAATTCATAGTGGAGGAAAAAGGGAAGGATGATGGGGTTCTGGGTACAATTCAAGGTGTTGGTTATCACTTTAAAAGCCCTTTGTGTCACAGGCCAGGTTATTTGGGAGACCACCTATCACCCAGGGTTGCTGCCCATCTAAAAAGCTCAGACAAAATAGGTACAGTTCGGTTCCTTTCAATCAAACAATGCCCGCTATCAGAACCTAGGAGGCATCTTTCCTCTGCAGTAATAAACCCCACCAAAATTTGTCTAACTCCTCTAAGGTCATTCCAGAAATCTTTAAAAACACAATTGTTCTCTCATTGCTTCAAATAGGGACCTATTAGCATTTTGTTACGAGGATTAATGCTGTTTGGATGCTCTAATTTTCCATTTTATTGTTTTGCTGTTTTAAATTGTAAGTTGGCTGGGAATTCTGTGATTTCAGTGTTAATGCATCTGGTTAATGGGGCACCATAGCTCAGCAGTTAAAAATGCTGAACTTGTCAGCTGGGTTCAAGAGCTGAGCTCTGCGCAATGGGGTGAGATCTCATTATTTCCACGGAGCAGTTCAAGAGCATGCAAACGCGAGTAGATAAATAGGTGCCACTTTGATAGGAAGTTATCACCATTCCACAAGCCTTTGGCATAGAGCAGTGTTTCTCAACCTGGGCAACTTTAAGATGGATGGACTCCCATCTTAAAGTTGCCCAGGTTGAGAAACACTAGCATAGAGCCATGCTGGTCACATGACCACGGAAATTGTCTTCATACAATGCTGGCTCCCTCAGCCATGAAACGAAGATGAGCACTGTGGTCGAGAGTTGAATAGACTGACAGGGAAACCTTTATCTTTTTAATGCCACACCAATGAAGGCTGAGATAGACTTTCATAATATTCTGTTTTATTTCCTTATTGTCCCCCACTCCCCCACCCCAACTCACAGCTTGGGAATCGTTCTGTCACGAGGATATGGTGAATACATGCTGCTTGGGGACACTTCAGTGGAAGAAGGTTGGTGATATGGCACAGTTTTGTAAAAGTCTTGTGTGAGAACTATTGGAGAACACTTTCTTGTACCCTAGCTAGGTTTTAATAGTGTTTTTATTTGGCTACCCTCTCCATCTCTCTTTAGGTATTTATTTGCTAACCTGATAGAGTAGAAAATTATTATTAAAAATCTGAACTCAGCTTCCTACATATTTAAAGAAGAAAAGTACTAATAAAATTAGTACTAATAAAATTTAAAAAATGAAAATATGGCAACATACTAATTTATCACCCCTGAAACCCAAATATTTCTTGGAAAGGCTCCCACTGTGTGTTTATGAAGTTTTTACAATTCCCTTTTCTCAGTGTTGTGTATCATATCCAGTCCTAATGTCAAATGGAGGTGCCGAGGTCTGTGATATCCAACAGTCAGATTCATTTGCCACTTTAATTGGTTTTATCTATGAGGCAAAGTACAGGATGCCTCAATCCCTTTATAGAGTAATCTTTTTATCAAAAAAAAGCAGCCTTTGCTGTTTCTGAGTAGACTGAAGTAATGGGACAGTTCTTCCCATTTTACTGAACTTCATTCCCACTATATGACATCTGTTATAATTTAAGTATTGGAATTTGGAATCCTCATATCTATGTTGCGTCTAAATCAAAATTGTAAATTGTATTTCTCTCTCTCTCTCTCTCTCTCTCTCTCTCTCTCTCTCTCTCTCTCTCTCTCTCTCTCTCTCTCTCTCTCTCTGTGTGTGTGTGTGTGTGTGTATGTACAACATAAGATATCCAATCAGATAATTCCTCCTCGCCACCCAAACAAAATTCTTGGTGTATATATTCCCATTACACAATGTCTTAACCATCACCCTCATTTCTGTTATCCTACAGAGACTGAACCCTCATTCAATGCAAATGGAAATTTCTTGTGGAAAACTTTGAGTGTTAAGCATGTTTGCCACAAAGAAGGAATCACGGTCATAACAATGCCATAACCTTTTCATTTCAGGTTTGCATGACCTGCTGCAGCCAGATTTGACCTTAGCCAATGAGTGGTAAGATATTTTTTTCTGATCATTCATGTCTGGGAAAGATGAACACTTTGTTTTGGGTCCTTGCAACTGAGGCCTTGAGAAAATGTTTGTGTAGAAGCTAAATAACCTCAGCTAAATTTTTATCAATTAAAATATATGAAATACACCAGAGAAAGGAATTTTGCCCAAGGATGTGGCGAAACACTGTCTCCCAGAACAATTGACGCTGCCTTAAACCTGTGCTTGAGTTAGGTGCAAGGCTGGTTCACATCTTCATGCCTGTTCATTTGGGCTGTGTAACCCTTTGGATTCTGTTCTGTTCTGAACTGCACCAAAATGCAATTGCCACTGCTTAAAGCAAATATGTCTTTTCCCTGGATTATGCTACAAAGGGTGGTCACGGAATCCTAGAATAGACACAACTAATTTAAAGAGTTACCAATGGGTGTTATTGTACATGAGTGACTCTATGCTTTTTGAAGCATCATTTGCTTTCAGATTCAAAGCACAGCACAAGTGTTCACATCCCTGGGTAATATTAATCAGATGTAAAAAGTTACCCTACCATTTTTTATTATTATTTATATATCAGAACCCGGTAATCCTAGGGCCTAAATAAATTTATTACCCTTTTTTTTCTTTAAAGTCAGGACAATAGGGAATCAAAAAAGAAGTCAAGATGAGACTGAATCCTCAGTATTTTGCATATGTACTATGCATGTGCACCACATATGAAGGATGTATTTTGATCCTGGATGCCCCATGTGACTGTCTTCTGGATTAGAGCATTTTGTTTTCTTACATTCTTATTGGGATAAGAGAGTAATTCAAACAATTGCCCATATTGGAATATGATAAGATCAATGGGCTAACTATAGTTTCCCTAAGCTGTTTCCTGTTCACTTGTTTAACTTCTCTCTATAATGATAGTGAAAAGGTATATTTTATGCTTAGTCTTATGTGTGTCAGGATAGACCCTGAAAGGAGAATATGTACCAACACTCTCTCATTCTTTCTTTCTCCTTCCCCCAGGATTTATTGTGTTACAGATATTGATCCAGCTCACAGGAAACTAAGTCAGTTGGAGGCTGTAATCCGTTTTATTACAGCAGAAGAAGCTGACCTTGAATGTGAGTATGGAACATATAGCTATTAATCAGTGTTCTTCTGAACCACTTTGCCTAAACTGTTAGGAACAGTTTTGTGAAAATACCAAATTGGTTCATCCAAATACAATTCCACAATGGCCATATTCCAGGACAGGGGTAGGCAACTTTGGCTCTTTTATGACTCATGGACTTCAACTCCCAGAATTCCTGGCTCAGGAATTCTGGGAGTTGAAGTCCATGAGTCATAAAAGAGCCAAGGTTGCCTACCCATGTTCCAGGATATTACAATAGGGCTTAATGAAGTTCTTTGCTTAAAAGCGTTGATATAAACTCCTCCATCATCTTTTGAGGCACTTTGTCCCAATGTTTCACAATCCAAATTACTAAGAATTTCTAAATCCTGTTTCCTGAATTGTCTCCTATTCTCTGAGACAGAAAAACACTAAAATTGCTCCAACAACTATGTGACATCTTTTCAAATAACTGATAGTGACGATCATATCCCTTTTTAATTATTTTTTCTACAGGATAAACATGTACAGTATATAATCAGCATGTTGCTTAATCATCTTTCATTATGGCTCTTCCTTGATTTTCAAATTACTTGCAAATTAGAATTAGCAACTTCACACTTCCAGATTAGAGGTTGTGGTGTAATGAGTGCAGGAAAATGGGGCTGTTTTCCACATCTGATTTCGCTCTGCTGGGGACCCTTAAAAGGGTCTAAAGTCGCCCTGGAGAGGTGATGAAGAAGAAGGGGACCCTCGGTGCAGCAGCCCTTCCATTTGATCCGAGGAAGCCCTTCAAACCGGCAGAAGAAAGACTGGATGCATTTATGTGGCCAACCAGAAGCCACCAACAACCCAAGATAAGCACTAACTAGCAACTTCTGAACAACACAATGGAACTGGGTAAGAATGAAGCTCTCTTTATAACTTTAAAACTTTTTCCTGGAAAAAAGCACTCCCAAAGCAAAGAATCCCCAGATGATAGAGAGAAGGGGAATTTCCACCCCATTCTCTCAGGAAAAGAGAAGCGGCGAATAACTTTCTTTGGATGGAATTAGAGAAAACTACAAGATTAATTTGGATTTAATACAGAGACATAGCTTTGACAAATTTGGGGACTAAGAGTATTTTTAAGACTTTATATTCGAAAAGATATTTGGAAAATTGGTGAAATAGGTTTGGATTTAAAAGCTGGAAGATGGATGTAAACGAAATCTAGTGGTGAACCTTGGCATTACAATTTATTATGCTTAAAGGAAATTTGGCACAAAGCCCGGACATATATAAGGCTCTTTGTTGTTCCTGGAAACTTTCACTTTTGTATAGAGCAGCTGGGAAAAGGGAAAAAAATCTTTGGGCTGTTTTGTCTGTATGAAGGAGACATAAACCATTCTAAATTGGCCAGCCTGGGGTACAAATATTGACTGACTTTTTGTTTCAATAATTATCAAGAAATATTAAGAAACAGTGGGAAAGTTGCTTCTGGACTATTTCTTTTTGGAAGAAACATGGAAATCAACAAGAAAATGTAAATGGACTTCAGAAAGAAATTATTTCCATGTTGAAATTAATTCAAGAAACAATTGTTTTAAATTATGGGGAGACTAAAAATAATTTAAATAACATAAATGAACAACTTTCCAACTCAAACTTACAAGCAAAAAACGTTCAGAAAATGACCATAAAGAATAAACTAGCAACTCAGAAACCAAAAGAAAAAATAGAGGAAATTGACATAAAGATAGAGGATTCGAAAGAAGAAACCAGTAGACAGGCACAGATAAATAAAAATTTGGAAGACCCAGATATAACACCGGAAATGGGAAAGATATTTTACTTTTCAAGACTTCTGATCATATTTGAGGACAAGGAAGAAAAATTGATAGAATGGATGACAGAGCTGTCAGGAAAAATGCTGAAAACTGGGGAACAAGAAACTAAAAGAGAAACTGAAGGAGAAAGAAAATGGAGGCTGTTTAACAAATATAAATGAATTAAGTGTTTTTACGAAAACCCGTTAATTAAATTGTCTTTTTTATTCAAAATAATATATACAGAAACAGAGGAAGAAATACTTGGTGACTTAAATGTACTGACTTGTAAAATTATTTGGCAAAGGAAGAAAGCTAGAGTAAAATTGAAGAAAATAGAGGTCCTGACTAATTAGATGAGATATTATACCATCTAATGGATGTTTAAATATGATTAAAAGAATAGACAATTGTTAGAAATAAAAGGACCATTGTAAAATAGAAGGATGTGATTTGTAACTAGGATAACATAATTTTCTATAAGATGGGAAATATGAAAATACTAAGAGAGTCAGTATAAGGAAAGCTTTTAGTTACCCAAATGTAATTAATTATGAGAAAAATGATAATTGATAAAGTTATTTTGAATATTGATGGGAAATTAAAATTAAAAAAAGAGAGAAAAAACAGGATATGGATTGAATAAGGGAACTCTGCAAATACGTTTGAGATATGTTTTAGCTAGACAAGATATTATAAACTGATATTATTGACATTATGTATAACATTAGAAACATGTGATGAAGATGTTTATATTTACTTGTATAGGTATTAATAGCAGTAAGAATTATACTTGTATAGTGGGGGGAAATGATTATTATTGGAAGAAGAGAGGGTGAGGGAAAAACTGGATGGTGTAGTATTGGATTTTGAGTGAAAGTTAATATATACCATTGAATGATAAAGGAACCCAGACACCGAGTTGTTTATTAAGTACTTATGATTGTAAAACTTGAAATTAATAAAATATCTACAAAAAAAGAATTAGCAACTTCGACTCAATTCAATTCATGTTATACCTGGCAGATGACAACATTTACCTTTCATCATTCAATTCCTTATATGACTTGGTCCATCAGATCATACTGTCTGTCCTTGTAACTAAAACTGTACTGTTGAATATCATTGCTGAATAGTTAGAAACTTCAGGTGTGGTATATCTCCCATCTGATTATTAATGTAAACCTTTCTAAACTCACATTTCCCATGGTCACTGTTTCTTTGATCTCCTTGATTCAATTTGCCTACAAAACTACTTTTTCAGGCTTTGCTCCAGTCAGCATAGTTGGTCTCTGACCTAGAGAAGTATATCATGTGTCATTCCCAAACCAGCAAAGTTATTTATTGGGATGAAATTTCAGGGAGAATTATACTAATATATTGTTTAAGGCTTCATTCATTTTTCCATGTGAAAGTTCAGCTCCTGATAATTTCATGGAGCAAATGAAGAAAGGAGGGGGGTGGGGGTGGAATGGATGGATGAATTTAAAACAAGATCCAAATTGAAATTCTAGAAACAGATTTATTGTTATTGCAATTCAAGATTTTTTCTGATGGCTTCAGCCTTAAACCTCAGGAATATACTTTGGATGGACGGGGATGTTCAAAGAGTTTCAGTTTTCAGGGCCTCCATACAAGACCATCCATTGCTGGGGTGACAATAACATCACTGTGGCAGCTGAAACTGGGTGATTGAAAGCCTCACTTCTTTTTAACTCATGCTGCATGCATAGCACACATGTAAAATGAAGCAGGGCTTCTGCCACCTGGTTATAGTTTAATGTCATTGATCCCCTTGTCCTGTTTCCCAAGATTCTAAATCAGTGGTTCTCTTGGACACCCAGCCCTGGGGTAAACCCCAGCTAGCTGGTAAAGTACCCCCAGCGGTTCGTTCCGACAGGCGGTAAAAAAAACAGGCGGTAAAAAGGGGGAAAAGGCCGCCCACGGAATGGAGGGAACCCGACCCGGTCGACCACCAGCCGGACGAGGCAGAGACGGCGAACGGTCGATGCGGAGCCCCGGCGCAGGGGGTGGAACCATGCATGCGCGGCGCTCCCGGGCAGGGAAAGTCCTCGACTTATGACCGGTTTAGTCCTCGACTTACGACCAGTTTAGTCCTCGACTTACGACTGGTTTAGTCCTCGACTTACGACCGGTTGGGGTCACGGCATTAAAAAGGTTGAGAACCACTGTTCTAAATGTATAGCTAAACACATAAATCAAATCCCCATCCTTATGTTCTCTATAGGCTTTGGATTTCAACTCCAATGTTTGTGTGGTTGATTGCCTTTCTTTCTTACCATTCTTTCTCATATCTAGGTGATGAAGAGTTGGTTCAACAGGTTCTCTTCGATGCCGTAGTTACAGCACCTATGGAAGCCTATTGGACGACTTTGGCCCTCACCATGTCCAAGTAAATACACACTTCTTGAGCTAAGAGAGGTTTTGAAACAATCCACCTTTAGACTGCTGCAATGGACTCTACCTGTACCTGTCCAGAAATAGTGTTCAAAAAGTTCATTTGAAACAAAATCAATGATCAACAGCAGCTTGGTTTTTACCTATATTGTACAAATTATCACCTTTGGCCATTGGGACCTTCCCACAGTCTTCATTTCTTTGAAGAGACATGTCCTGGATCCCACTGCCATTTGGGTACAGATCTGGCTTTATCCAGAATTGCTGAGAATTGAACTTGTGATCTTGCCTAGAAAGTGTGTTGATTACTGTAAAATACAACCCCCCGACTTCAAATCCTACAGCACAAAAGAAGTTCAGCCAGCTTTTCAATGATTTCTGCTCTCACTTGCTTATACAACTCTCATTTTTATTCTGCAACAGTGAAACTGAAGATGGCGTGCAGATGGCCTTCATGGGAACTCGAGCTGGTCTCATGAGGAATACCCTTTATGTAGGAACTGAAAAACTGTCTAACAAGTGAGTCTTTTGGATATGTATTTTTGAGAT